CATCAAAATAAGTGGTCCTCCTAATTGTCAAACATTCTGGTGGTATGTTTAGTTAAGGCCGTTCTACGTGCTCGTCCCGTTAGCTGTATTTTTCTACGCATGCTCACTTTGAAGCGTATATGTGTGGGGAGCTACGGTTTCAGACGTTATTGAAGCTCAGCTTTCTCACCACGGTCGTTTGAAAATGGCCGAGGGTCGTACGAGAAAAAGTGTCTAAGAAGTGTTTGAGAAGAAAAGAAAGGCCTCAGAAGAGGTAGATATATCCCAGAATGCTTTGCACAGAGCCCATATTCTTATCTTCAGCTACCACAGTATACATGTCAGATTAAATAATACTACTTACCTCAGTGATATCATCAATGTGTTACTTTATTGCATCTCTTATACTATGTCTGCTGATTGTGCAGTTCTTTTACTTCTCTCTTTGCAGGTGATGAAGCAGACAGAAGATGTTTTATCATTGTCTCCCTTTTAACTCCTCTTTCCTTCATCTTTTCTTGTTTTTCCTTTCCTGTTCTACTTTCACATTGCAGTGTCCATATATTATGTAATACTCTCTTATATTAGATTATATAGAATTATAATACAGCTATTTATATGCGTAAATCAAGCGGAATACTATAGCGATAGCCGTACTGCTCCACTTGTGAAAGGAAAATCTGTTGGGCCCTTTTTTGGCATCAAGACAATTATTCGTATTGCTACATTACCAGACAGGACACTGTTAAAAATAAAATAATAATATAATGATAATAATAACAAAGACATGGAAGTGATCATCTGTCTGAACGGTCAGTTAACAGACTTCACTATATAGTCCCCACACTATATATAGTGATTGAAGGATTTAGGCATTAGGGCAGACATTCAGGCACGGTAAGTTTGTATGAGTTATGAGAACAGCACATTTTAAACAGGGCATGCACGAGGAGAAAGGGCTTATGCATGCTCTTGCACATGCATAAATTTGAGAAAATCATCCTAAATAACTTTAATGTGAACGAGCAAATTATGTTTTCGTTTGCACCAGTCCACTGCACTCTACACCCTCTGTAACTGCTGCACCATGATTTGATTGTTTTGGAGACATGTTACTGGATATTTTAACGAAACAACAATAAATAAAAAAGTTCCTTTATTCTGAGTGAACCAGATATCCCAACTACCTCATCAACCTTCACTCCTGCATATGTTGGCTTAATATTGGACTTATGTGTGTAGAAGCAGTGACAAATACAGTATAGGCTTCCTCAGCTACCATTTGCAGCAGGGTGCCTTGGAAAAGTATACATGCTCCTTAATCTTTTTCACATTTTGTCACAACCACAAACTTTGTTTTTATTTATCCTGTTATGTAACTGAAAACAATAGTACAATAGTGTTTTCCCTCTCGAAACAGGAAGGTGTATCCACTGAGTAAATATTTTATAGAACCCCTTCAGATGCAGTTAGAGTGGCAGGTCTTATGGCACATCTAAACACAGATATTTCTCTACATTCTTCTTTCCAAATTAGGTCCACCTCAGACAGATTGAAGAGGGTTTGTAAACAGCTGTACCGCTACAGATAATCCAGTGGATTTGGACTAGAGATGCACCAATCTAGTTTATTCTAAACCTATTTCGTACCGATACCTGGACTAAGCGTATCAACTCTGTATCTGGAGACAATATTAATGAAGGGTATTGCTAACAAAGACAAGTGTTTATTGAGTTAGTTATCATTTGCACATCAAAAGAAAAATGCCTCAAGGCAGCTTTTAAATATTGTTGAACTATGGTGTATTTTGGGGTTACTTATTTTTCAATTATTTGCACATTTATTTAATAGCACCTGTGACTCAGTGTTCCATAATGAGATTGAATGACTTGAGTTTTTAATATCAATAAAAAAATTTTCATGCCTTTAATTATTTGTCATTTCGTATCCTTATGGTATTGAGTATTGAATATTTTCCTGGGTATTTATAGAAAGTAGTTAAAAAGTACTACTTTGTTGGTCAGTAGTATCGAGAAAACCCTACGGCTGATACCCAATACCAATCTGATACTACTGTTAAATACTTAGTATTTATTAACATGTAAATTATATTTTAGCAATAGGGCTGGGCAGTATAGAATATAGATATTTTGTGGTACTATCGCAATAATGGTAAATATACAATAAAAGTCTTCATTAAGTCTTTACAGTCTTCCTTAAAGGTATAGTGGAGGATGTTCTTTTTGGGGTTGGATCATCAAAATAAGTGGTCCTCCTCATTGTCAATCATTCTGGTGATATGTTTACGTGAGTTCATCCTACATGCTTGTCCCCATTTTCACTTACAAACGTGAGTCTAACATAGTGGAAAAATTGCAAACCTTTGTTTGGAAAGTAAGCATGTATGAGTGATGCAAACAGCAACTTTTAAACATAGTGTGCACAAGGCGAAATGGGCTGGTGCACGCTCTTGCACGCCTTTAATAGGTGATCCCTCTTAAGAGCGGGTACAGGGTTGGTCATATCCATTTTTTTTTTAAGTGGTGAGGGCGGGTCTTTTCAAAAATTTGTGAAAATCCTCCACTGTATCTTTAAGTAACTGTATGGCTGTGACTGCATGCCACAGCAATCGGAGACCAACAATCATAAAAACTGCTTTTAAAAACATTTACTAATTTGAAATAGGCGTCTCTAGGACAGCAGTAAGTATGATTTTTTTTTTATTGATAAACTTCCCACAGTAGTTCTATTTCAGATTCTTTGAATTAGACAATGACCCAATGGTAAATAAAGAAGAAAAGTTTTTTTTTTTTTTCCAATAATATTATTTCAAAATTTTAATTTAGATGGTAAATCATAATTCTTGTCATGTCCTGAAATCTATCAGGATAACGATAAAGGATACGACAAATGCCTGGGTCTAATGAGCAGAAAAATAAATAAATAAAAGTATTATGAAGTATATCAGCTGCCTGAAAGCCGCTGTAGTTCTCTGAACTGGTACTGTAGTGTTTATCAGTATTCTTCATCCAATATCCCGGAGGTCCTCAACAGGGGGTGCACAGAGGTACTGCATGGGGGTCGCGAAAGTTTTGGTTGATAAGACTTTTTTTTTTTTATATTCCCCCCATAATTTTTTCCACTAATTGAAATGTCTTTAAATCCACATTAACATGATTCAACACTCTGTAGTAAACAGATAAATGGAGGCAGAAGATGTCTTTCAGTCAGCAATGCACACATTCAGCGACACACAGGAGCTCTTTCAAGTTGGGCACCGTTTCATTTACAACACCTGTCCCATCAACCAGGAATCAGAATCAGAAATACTTTAATAATCCCAGGGAGAAATTGCTTTCCTTACATTACTCCATCTGTAATAGAGTGACTATAGGACCAGTTTGATATAACACAATTTCATACAATATATATAATTAGGGGGTCCCTGCTCCATCTCGCCATCAGTTTGCGGGGTCCTTTGCCTGGAAAACGTTGAAGAACCCTGCAATATCCGATCCACCTAATTAGCCAATATCAAAGCAGATATCCGATCCAGGTATCGGATCGATGCATTAATTTAGCTCTATGGTTCAATCTACACCAGGGTTCCTTAATTCCAGTCCTCAAGGTTTGGTGCCATCTTTTAAGAAGTGTCTCTGCATCAAAGCCCCCCAGTGTGAAATAATTAGGTGATTTGCAGGACTCTGGAGAACTTAGTACATACTTAGGAGATAATACCTGCATTTTGTTTTTCAGTGTTTGGAAACTATGACACATTAAAAAGCTGCAGGAACCCCTGATTTATAAAGCTGGAATCAAAGAACCCTAATCTATATGGTTCCATTGTAGTTCTGGCTGAATCTACAGGGTTGATCATGCCTTCAACCATCGTCTTCTAAACCCTCACTAGCTTCCGAGCAGTAGAAAAAAAGCATCCCCACACCATAATGCTACCACCACCTCTTTTTAGCTAAATATTCAAAGATTCAAGACTTCTGATATTAAAATCTCTCTTTTGCTACAAAAATATATCTTCAGCCATGATGTTTGGAGGGAACAATTTCAACAACAAAAGGATAATACAATAAAAAAAAAAAATATATATATATATATATATATATATACATATATATACATTTCATTAGTTTTGAAAAAATTAAGCGACTGCAAAACCAAAAAGATCAAGACTCCTAGGCGTTAAAGTGCAAATGTGATTACTTTACTGTAGAGCTGCACCATATCCTGAATGCAATATCTGTGTGTAATATTTGGTAAGCGATTATACTTTAACAGACATGAATAAACAATCTGCCAACATAAAGCATTTAACCACTTAGATCGACTTCATTGGAACAGATGTCCTGGAGCTGAATTTATTGGACAAAATGCTTAAATGGTTTGGAAATTATGATGATGAAGATGATGATGATGATGATGATGATGATGAATAAACAAAAAAAGAGGGATAAAAACTTACAAAGCATGAAGAATTACCAAATAACTAAGGATATTCTTTCCTTAAACCATGTTATTCTATTCTTATGACATTAAACCGTTTTTGTTTTGTTTGTTTATCTTTTTTGCACCAAAAAAATGAAACCAAATGGCGTTTATTTTAAAAGTAACTTTGCCCAAAAATGATCTCGATGCAACAATAAGAGCAAACAGCTCTGACCTCTTGGATTAAACTGACCTTAAATGGCTTTTCTTCTTCCTACGCAGCTTTCGGTGACTTCTCACCTTTAAGACCCTGAGCACTCCTCTGTTTAAGACATTTTATTATTTAAACGCGAACAAATCAGCAAGAAAAAGCTATTTTAACAAATGCCAGATATAAGAAGTTTGGCTGCCATAAATGCTTTTATTTCTGCAGCACGAAAGCGACTAAATCTATTAGGTGTAAGGCGATAAATACCATTAGGAGGGGTATTTATAGTGACTACAGTGAGATCACCCTGCCAGGTACTCAGCCAGACGGTCGCAGCAGAGGTTTCAGTTGCGGTAATGAGAAACGCACTCACCCAGAAGGGGAGTTTTTCTCCGCACAGCCGCTCCATCTCCGTCGTGGTTTCCCCCCCAGAACAGCTCTGCCTCCGTCGGTCTACGCGGAAAAAAAGTCGAGCCCAATCCGCTGAGCGTCTGTCCTTTATCCCTTCTCCTCGCGGTCCGGCGCTGTCACATGCCCCGATGACAGGTACGCGTTCCCCTTTCTGTTGCGCGCGCGCGCACCGCGTCCGGTCGGTTTGCTCCGATCTGTCGACGGTCTGGATGGAGAAATATTCATTCGGATCCAGCCAAGAGTTCTGGTTACAGGAGGAGGCTGCTGTGTGGCGGTGGGAGAAGGAAGGAGTTGGCTTTCTGCTGAGCACCGCCCTCTTCTAACGCTTCTCCGCCTTCTTCCTCCTCGCCTTAAAAATGTTTTCACCCAACGACGCACCGAGAGGTCGTCCCTGGGTCATGACTCATGAGAAAAGTAAATATCCAGGAAATATATATATTTTTTTACTACTAATTGATAACAAAACCGACAAAGTTTTAAATTTATGGTTGACGTCTTCAGGAGGATGAATAATATACTACAAAAAAGGACTGAAGGTGACTAAGCAAAGCAAACACGAAAGAGGAATAAAGAAGTAATTCTGCAGGAGATGGTACTCGATAGGAAGATCCTGCTGGCTGAGGGAGATTAAATAAAAAAACACTTAAGCATGTTTTTAAAACACTGACTTACATGTTATTTAGTGTTGGTAATTATGGAGGAGGATTAGGGCCACTAGAAAAAATTTAAAAAATCTTGGAACCAATTTTTAATATTTCAGTTTAATATGGAAAAAAGTCAAAAATCTGACTTTATTCTGTGATTAAAGTCAGAATTCTGACTTTAATCTCAGAATTCTGACTTTAATCTCAGATTACTGACTTTAATCTCAGAATTCTGATTTTAATCTCTAAATTCTGACTTTAATCTTGGAATGCTGACTTTAATCTCAGAATTCTGACATTAATCTCTGAATTCTGACTTTAATCTTAGAATACTGACTTTAATCTCAGAATTCTGACTTTAATCTCTGAATTCTGACTTTAATCTCAGAATACTGACTTTAATCTCAGATTACTGACTTTAATCTCAGAATTCTGACTTTAATCTCTAAATTCTGACTTTAATCTTAGAATACTGACTTTAATCTCAGAATTCTGACTTTAATCTCAGAATACTGACTTTAATCTCAGATTACTGACTTTAATCTCAGAATTCTGACTTTAATCTCTAAATTCTGACTTTAATCTCAGAATTCTGACTTTAATCTCAGATTACTGACTTTAATCTCAGAATTCTGACTTTAATCTCTAAATTCTGACTTTAATCTTAGAATATTGACTTTAATCTCTGAATTCTGACTTAAATTTCAGAATACTGACTTTAATCTCAGATTACTGACTTTAATCTCAGAATTCTGACTTTAATTTCTGAATTCTGACTTTAATCTCAGAATTCTGATTTTAATCTCAGAATTCTGACTTTAAACTCAGAATTCTGACAGCTAACAAACATCTTAGCATCAAGCCATAGCCATATCTGTTTTAGAGACTAACTCTCTTGTTTTAATCCTCTTCTGCTCTTCCGTTAATTAAACAGCATCACAGAGGACCCCTCAGGCACGTAAAAAGTCTCCTAATTTCATCATTTTCCACCAATGTGTTACTGGCCATCCCAAACAACTCACATGTTTGTCAGTGAAGCTGAGTGCTTCCAAAACTATTCCTTCATGGTGCCCATCTACATTAAGATCCAAAATTCTGAGATTAAAGTCATCCAGGAAGTTTTTTCAATTCAAAATGTCAGGAATAATTATTAGAACTCGAAAACAAAATCCAGTGGATTGTTTTTTATTTTATTTTTTGGAATGACTATGACCTGGATGACTGAGAACCTTCACCAGCATCTAAGCTATCAGGTTGTGTTGCTGATACATATCAGCTGTGTGGTTCATGTTTATAATGAATTGACAGCAGTGCAACCCATATTTTTCTAAAAATAGTTGCTTCTTTAATGTATATTTTAATATACTATGTTACATACTAACCAAAGCCCAATTTACAGTAGTTACAATAACAAGACAATTCATTTTTCCATTAGATTTTGTCACATCAGTCCACTTGCAGTCACATTTTTCTTCTGTGTTTGGATGCATAGAATAATGGGGAAACTCCTTCAATTTGTATTGCTACCAGTTGTTAATTTTGTTACTGAAGAAAAAAAAAAGAGAAAACTTTATTGGCTGTGTTAGAATGTACAACTGATTTAATTTCATTGTTGCTGTAAATCAGTAAATCCACATCTGATTGCTCCCTGAAGTTGGATATGTGAACCCAGAAGACAATGGTTGCCCCAGATCCTAATCCCTTCATTAATAAAGAAGAGTAGAATTCGATTTTATTACACAGTCACAAGTACAGAGCAGCAAAATGATCTCTCTGCATTTAACCCATCCCCTTGGGGAGCAGTGGGCTGTCATTGTGTGGCACCCGGGGAGCAATGTTGGGCTAAGTTTTCTGCTCAAAGAGCCAGAGTGGCACTCTGTGGGAGTGGGGCTTGATCTCAGAACTTTTAGAACCCAAGTGCAATGCTCTAACCACTAGGTCACCAATCCCAATGATTGAGTCCAGGAAATGAGCCAAGGAATGTCGATGTAGGTACCAGATCTGCTCGGGGCACATGCCAATGACGTTTTGCTATATGATTGGCTGAACATTGCCACATGATGTAAAACATAGTGGTTGCCCAGACAACAATAATAACATCACGCAGCAAACGTGAGCCGAGTCGGGAGCATCTGTAGCGTTAGCGTGTCTATGAAGTTTTACCTGATCGATAACAAAACTGCAAAAAATCTGTTTCTGGTGAAGAAAGTAACTGTTAGACTATGAAATAAAGGGGAAGAGCTGGGTAGCGCTGTAGCTAGCTGTGCTCAATAGCTAACAGGTTAGCCTTTTTCAGCTCAGTCAGTTAGCCGTATTAATCAACACAACTTTTGGATTTGTGTCAACAACAACCGTTTGTTTTCTACGAGTAGAATAACTGTTTTATTTGTCCAAAATCTTTACGAAAGTCATTTTTAAGATGTTCCATTTGTCCCTCCTGTCCTCAGATCTTAATAAAGAAGAATAAAAATCTCAATCTGTCTTAGAAGGCAGTGCTTTCCTTCAAGACTGACAATGACTGTTTTCTACTTTCGACTATTTTAGATCGCCATTGCCATGTGAAATAATAGCAAATAAAGGTAATAATATGGTGAAAATCCAAAAGAGATTTGATCCTTAAGAAACAGGGCAAATACAGTTTGTCCAAATGGAGTTGCCATATGTTGACATCATAAGAAGCGGCAGGGCCCCCAGCAGATCTGGTACCTACAGTACACTAGACAGCCTTTAGCCTTCCAGGTGTGATTCTAGAATAAAAAAGGATGTTGCTGGTTAAACTGGGGATCCCAGCCTTCTTGAAAAGAAAGATAAAAACACACGTGAGTACACATGAAGAAATAATGGTTTTAGTTAAACCCTCTCATGTAGATTCATGTAGCCTCAACACTTAGAATTGCTGTTATCATACCCACACTTCAAAAACCTTCATGGTTAACTACCATCCCATCCCTAACCTCCCAATTCTCAATAAGCTTTTGGAAAAAGTTGAAGCTTCATGATCTACAATCAAATTAACTTTTTGAAAAACTCCAAGGGGTCTATCATTAGACCAACCATTTTTATCATCTTGGTAACAATGTCAGCAAGCATGGAATTTCCTTCCATTGCTATGCTGACGATACTCAGCTCTACTTTAGGACAGACCCCACCTCTGCTGCCCCACCACCAGCCCTCACAGCCTGCCTGGAGGAGATAAAGACATGGATGACCAGCAATTTCTTACAACTGAATAGTGACACTCGACATCAACTCAAATCCTCCTCTGTTACCACCATCTCTTTTTTGTGGCTGGACCATTCCCCTATATCCTTTTGTTACCAACCTGAGGTTGAAATTTGACCTCCACCTATCATTAAACATCACATCCAACAACCCTCTAAGACAGCCTTTTTTATCTAAGTAATATAACCAATCTTCGTCCCTCCCTCTCTCTGGCCAATGCAGAAAAGCTGGTTCACGCCTTTGTCTACTCCAGGCAAGACTATTGTAATGTGCTCCTTGTAAGGATCCCTGGCAGGAGCCTCCAGGGTTTCCATACTATCCAGAACAGTGTGGATTCCAGTTACAATGAGAATTTCAACATAAGATGTGTCTCCTCATGTTTAAAACAGTTCATGACAACACTCCAGAATTTCAAGAAGCTGCTCAGAAGCAGCAGAAACCTCCGCTCCACTGACACCCATCTCCTCATTACCCCCAGTAATGAGGCCAATGGGAGAAAGAGATTTCCATCTGTGACTCCAAGGACACAGAACACACTTCACTCTACCCGAAGGCTCCCAGATTGGTGGAATCTTCTAAAAGTCTTTTTAAAACATTCTTATTCACAAAAGATACTTTATTAGGATCTTAATTTGTTTAATTGTTGTTCCACTGCATGTATTCCATTGACATTTTTATTTGACTGTCTGCTTTTATCTCTTTGAACTTTTCCTTTGTAGCACTTTGAGATCTGCATTTATAATTGTAAAGTACTTTATAAAAATAATGTATTATTATTTTTATTATGTGCAGGTCTAGACAGGGGGCCAACAGGGGCATACAACCCCATTGGACTGGTCCTACCTCCTTTTTTGCCCCCTGTACTGATGACATATTACTAAATCAGTTTATAATGATGATGATGATGTGCTGTTCTTGGCCTGCACTGCAAAAACAACTCGGAAGGTCAACATATCTTAAATTGAGTGTATTAAAGTCCATTTGCATGTTTCCAAGCGATACAAGGCTTTGTCTATATAAGACTCAAACTCACTGCGGATCCAGACATTTGAATTGAGAAAGCTTCCTGGAGAGGTGGCGAAATGTCTTCAAATCTTGGAAACCAAGTCCAGTGGATATTTTTTTTTATTTTTTCCAGAAGGTGTATTAATTGCTAAGGGAATTAATATTTTTACTCTTTAAATAAGATAATTAGATAATATGCACTAAACATTACAATTGTTTTTTTCTTATCTTAAACAGACATTGTCTTGTTCCATTGGCAAAGTGTCTCACCTCCTTAATTAAAGAACAAATTCACTTATTTTAATTTAATTTGACCTATTTAGATTTGGATTTTTTTGAGCCAATATCAGTTTTTACTTTACAAGTTTTATTCCAATATTGGTCTTAAAATTGAGGTTTTGCACTTTTTGCTTTAGCTGC